CTCTTTGAGTTGGGCTCTCCCTTGGTATCGCATAGGCATTGGGACCGTAGCGTTATCTTGGCTTCCCTGCTCCCAGATCTAGCTCCTTCCTCCCCTAGTCGGTGAGTTGTGTGCATGTTTCCCTCACCCACTGCCCTCATCACCCTAGTGCCGGCCTTGCATGCCTTCAGTTAGGCATATCTCCACCCTATTCCAGGCTCCCCCTTTTCATGGTCGACCCTGCATGGTGTCACCCTTGTCGAGCATTACCCGCCGTGATGGTCTATCTGTTAGGGTCATTGGTTTTCTTTCGCTACCACTCTCCCTACTTGAGCCTGATGACCTATCCCACCTTCATGTGTGACTGCCCTTAGGAGTTTCGATTCTTAGGCTGCATTCACCACCTCTGAGACCATCCCACTTTTAGTGGTTCAACGACATGACATTATCTTTCGACATATTGCTCTTCTCCTTTCAGCACTGATGCCTCCAGGACCTTAGGAGTGTATCATACTACATTTCATTTTCTGCTGTTAGCTAGGATATGTATACCAGACATTTGTTTTTCTTTTGACATTATATAGCTTAGGATGCATCGCATGGACTCTGCATGAAGCTTGCTCCGCATCCTAGATTTCTCAGCTTTCTTTATTGCAGAGTTCCGCTGCTTTTGTGGATAGCGTGTTTATGGCTCTTGCGATCCATTACAGGTCTGAGGATCGTGAAGCGAGCCTTCATCTGCCCTGGCCCACAGCCTGGGCCTATTTGGCTATTCGCCAGTCCGGCCTGTGGGACCAGGCCGTGTCCTGACCCCACAGGCCGTGCGGTTATTTAGTCCAGTCCAGTCCTGCCCGGTACCACTGTCTGTACCAGTCCAGTCCAGTCCAGTCCAGTCAGTCCGCTGGGGGTATACCCCAGCTGCAGTCTGTTTTGTGGCATTCTTCATTTGCACAGATTGGAGTACGTGCGTGTTGAGTCTGCGTTGGAGCTGCGCTGTCCCTTCCAGCTCCATCTCCATCTCCCCCATCCTCATCCCTTCGTCTTGATCCTGACGGACCGCCATCCCGGCGGGTCCGTCACAAGTGTGCACTGTGCGGCAGATGACGACGAGCCTGACGAGGACCTCGCCTGCATTGAACGATTCAAGAAGTTGAGGGTGGCGGGAGATGGCATTCATGTTCGTAACACATGTGACATGAGTGTGGGTGGTGGGGCACCTACAAAGACCGCTGCAAACGCAGATGGGACTTCGCTGCCTATCCGAACCAGGAAGAGGAGGGCGACTGAAAACTTGGCGGTATGCAAATCATCGGACCGTGAGGCGTTTTCTTCCGGTGATGACGCTTCTCATGATCCCACAAGCCCCGAGGCGAAACAGCGGACAACGCCTCCCACTAACGGCGTGATCACAGGGAGAATGGGGTCATTGCGCTTGGGGGACTGTTATCCTCAGTGCCGGTGCCGTGAACGTGACCGGCACCGGTCGGTGCAATCACTTGAACGTGATTGGCTAGTCACGGGGGCCGGGATCGGGGTGGGAGGGGGGTGGTGCGGGCCCTGCGGGGGCCTTCTATACCCCCGTGACTTCAAAAAAAAAAAAAAAAAAAAAAAAAAAAAACAGAATGGGGTGTGTGTGAAAAAAAAAAAAAAAAAGTTTGGGGGGTGGAGGTGGGTGGGGGTTGGCGCAGGCCCGCAGGGCCCTGGCAAGGAAGAGAAGCGGGAAAAAAAATAAAATTCTCTCTCTCTCTCTCTCTCTCTCTCTCCCTCTCTCTCTGTGTGTGTGTGTGTGTGAGACGGACCCCGTTGAGATTGGTGCTTTATTGCACCACGAAATAACCTACAAAATTTTTAAAAATCGAAATTACCTTCAAAATAACAAACGAAACTGCTTATTTTGGCTGGTTGCATTTTTTTGTTTTTAATTTAAAAAAACATTATTTGTGAAAGAACAAAAATTGAAAAAAATATGGGGGGTTACCCTCCGATGACCTCCACCCTCCTATAAAAAAAAAGCACCCCCCCCCCAGCAAAAAAAAAGAAAAAAAATTGATCCCGCTCTCCGTGAACTCCATGAACTCCCATGTCGTGAACTCCATAACCGGTTTCCGTCCACAGACCCCGTGAACGGTGAACGAGGGTATGGCACTGATTATCCTACAATGCGAGCGTTGAAGGACGCTGAGCTATTTTCAGTTGTTGCAATGCACTTCAAGCTCAAGACGGAGCGATCATCGAGGATACTGTAACAGGTGGTCTGCTAGACACGCAGTTGCCCCTAGGCGTTGAAGGTCGGGGCTTCCAGAAAGTGGGGAGGGTGGAAAGATCGTTGAACTGACTAAGCAGCGCGTAGGTTGCAAAGAGCCAAAAGAACGCAAGGGAGGCAACAAGCATGCGAGAGAGAGGTGGGTGCACCTCATGGTTGAAAGAAAGGTGGGGGAAGATGGTTCCATAACAGCGTCCGATTTGCGGACTTGGTTTGAAGTAAAGGCAAAAATACAATTGTCGTATGACAAGTGTAGGTGTGCTATTAAGAAGGTGACTATTGCACAACCGATTTGCAGACTTGGTTTGAAGTAGAGGCAAAAATACAATTGTCATACGACAAGTGTAGGTGTGCTATTAGGAAGGTGACTATTGCACAGCAGGGAGCCCCTGAGAAGGGGTTCATGCAACTGGTAACTTATAGTCGGGTCGTGCTCAAGACAAACCCTCATTCAATTGTAGACTTGCGAACCAAAGGAGATGTATTCTATCGGCTTTTCTTTTCTTTTGGAGTAGCAGTCATGGGTTTCAAACATTGCAGGCCCCTGCAGGTGATGGATGGGGCGCATACTAGGGGCTTCCGAATCCCCCCGGCGGTGACAGCACCGCCGCCGTGGCGGCCAGTGAAAGGGGGGGTGAGGGGGAGGGGGTGGCTGGTTGGGATTGCGCAAGCAGCGCAACCCCATCCCCGCCCCCTAGCACAAAACACAATTAAAAAAAAACGAGTTGGTGGGGGGGGGGGATTGTTAGTGAAAACGAATTTTCAAAAAAAAAAAAAAAAAA